GGGGGAGAGAGGAGGGAGGAGGGAGAGGGCACCTGACCACCATGTCCATGTAGAGAGAGGAGAGGACTGGGGGAGAGAGGAGGGAGAGGAGAGGACTGGGAGAGAGGAGAGAGGAGGGAGGAGGTAGAGGGTGGAGTCAGAAAGGGAGAAGTACTGAAGTTGGGAGCCAAGTACTGTAAGAGAAGAGAAGACTATAAACACTTGTTCGATCTGTTTTTTTTTAATCTACAAGTTTCTCGGTTGTATAACGCTATGCACAGCAGCGCTCTGAATAGAAACCTTTCTGCTTTGAGCTCAACACTAAATGCGTTCTGTAGCCAATGGGAAATGGGGAGAGGGGAGGGTCACCCCATAGGAACCAATCCAGCTTTAGTTTCTGCACTGCCCCAAACACTAAAGGAAACCATCGCCCAATAGCTGACCGGGAGGGGAGGGGCCATCATGTGCATTACACTGATTGACAATCACGTCCACCAATACAACACTACAGTTAGAGGGGTGGAGCCATCCTCTTATTGACCAATAAGCTCTGACGTCCTGAAACATTCCAGCAAACGAGCTGGAGAAGGGGGTTGTGGTCGTTAAGAGTTTAAGCAGCAGAAGGACTGTCCTGCAGTGGACCTGTGTGTGAAGAGTAGTTATTGACCTGGTATTGCTTCGTCTGCCTGTGTTCTTGAATTTCTGACGATCAGATGGTCAGGCCCTGTTACCCCTGCGAATGAAGGAATCTGACTGGACAGTTCTGATGCCTATTATATTTTTGTTAGTTTTATTTGTAATTGTTTTTTTTTGTATTTATTTGTTGTCGTTCCTATTCACATTTGACCTTTACTGCGATTCTCCTGCTTCGCAGTCAGTGCTGGGCTCTGATTGGACAGCAGACCTTTGACCAGCCAGTGACTCGAGTGTTCTGATTGGACAGCACTGTCAAAGGGGTGGATTGGTGCTGCTTTGGATTGGACATGCCTTATGTGTGAAAAGGATTCCGATTGGACCAACTGGCTGTGGAATTCATATCGTTTTGTTCTGATTGGACTGCTTGGCTGCCTGTCTGTGAACACAGCTTTCTGATTGGCCATTGTTTTGGTTTATTTTTGTGCTTTTTTTTTTGTCCCATGGAACACTTTTGGGATGCGAATGGGAATCTCCAGATCAAAACTCGGAGTGGGAGAGCAGGACTGCAGGAGGGGAAAGCACAGGCCTGGACCCTCCGGGCAGCGCCGGTCCGGTCCGGTCCGGTCCGGTGCAGTCCTCTTCCTCTGGGACCTTTTTGTTGTGTTGCTGCTGTTGTCGAGATTGTCCGTGCAGGCGTCAAGGTCAGAACATAAATCGCAGACCTCAAGTGTCGTCTTTTATACTCACCGTTATTAAACTGCTCCCGTCAAAGGTCTCCGTCGCCACTGCTTTCTGGGAAGGTTCTGGACTGGGGGGAGATTAGAAATATATTGATATCCCTGCTGAGCAGCAAACCATACTCTGTCAGATCAATTACCTCTGTTAAACTCCCTGCCACTCTGGAGCAGAGAGCTTTAAAGGAGCCCCAGTCTCACTGTGACCTGTGTCAGTGTTACAGGTAGAGACACAGCCCTTATAGAGTCAGGAGACTCATCTCCCTGCAGTCTGGAGCAGAGAGCTTTAAAGGAGCCTCAGTCACAGCGTGACTCTCTCCTTGATCTGTGCTCTCTCTGCCTGGCCCACTTTCTCCTTTCTCCTCTCTCCTCACTGTGCCTCCCTCTTTCTCCTCTCTCCCTCCTCACTACACCTTCCTCTCCCTCTCCCCTCCTCTCTCTCAGCTCCGTTATTTCCAGTAGTCTCATTTGAAGCTGCAGGATGAAACATTTCTGACCAGAGTATACTCCTCTCTGGGCAAAGGAAAGGAACTCAGTAAAAAAAATTAGAATGGGCCTTTTACCAACAGCCATTAGTGCTCAGACACAAACCTGGGGGCACAAGAGGAGACAGCAGGGAAATGCATTAAAAATGGGGAGTTGGGGGGGGCTCATTACACAAAGGGTGGTAAGAGTGTGGAACAAGCTGCCCAGCCGATATCCTGTTTTCTCTTAGGAAAGAGCTGGATGAGGTCCTGGAGACCAGGTAATTAGCTATTAATTACCAAACGGCATGGACAGCTGAATGCCTCCTCTCCTCTGTGACCCATCTGCTTGTCTCCTGCAGACGATGTCCATGAAGTAACATCTGCTCTCCAGCCAGCCCTCTGCTGGGGCAGCAGTACTCTGTACCACTGGTCCTGCCACTGTCCTGTCCTCTGTACACTCTTCTGTCCTGTGTACACTGTCCTGTCCTGTGTACACTCTGTCCAGTGCTGTAGCGCGCACTCTATTGTCCTGTAGCCTGGACAGCAGGCAGGCGGTACCTCCGTGTTAACTGCACTGCAGTCGTGTCCCATCGCCGACCAATCACAGAGCGCTGGTCTGGGCTTAAAGAGCAGCTCCTGGCCAATCGGAGCCGAGGAAATGTGGGTCCCAGACGCAGCGAGCGGCGCTCTGATTGGCTGCCGGTGTCGTCAGTCTGTCCCGGGTGTGCTTCCGGGTTTCGTCGCCTTCGCCTGCTGCTGCTGCTTCTTCAGAGGAGAGGAAGACTCGTCTCGCAGGAGGACAGCCGCTCCGCTCCGGCTGTCTGCGCCGACTCATCCGCACGTCCCCGCCCGCGACAGACGGCTGCGTGCATGGGCTCCGCCGCGGCTCGGGCACTGCGTGTGCCGGCTTTGTGAGAGAAATAAGAGCCAGAGAGCCCCCCGGGGGGGCGGGGGCTCTGCAGGTTTTGCTCCGGAGCGGGCGTGGGGGGGTCTGTCCACAGGGGCGAGAGCGCCGTGCGAAGCGGGACGAGACGAGACGAGACGAGACGGACCCTCGCCTGCAGACGCGGTAGGTGGCTTTGTTGCTGTGATGGTCGCCGGTGGTCCTGCCGCCGGGCTGTCGATGCCCTGTCGATACCCCGGCCAGCGCGGCGGCGTCTGCAGAGCTGCTGGCCCGGCTGTGTGGCGCCGTTCAAGTGACACTGTACCCCAGGGGTCCTGATGTCACCTCTCAGCCTGTTACAGTGATGCTGTATCCCAGGGGACCTGATGTAATCTCTCAGCCTGTTACAGTGACACTGTACCCCAGGGGTCCTGATGTAATCTCTCTGTTACAGTGACACTGTACCCCAGGGGTCCTGATGTAATCTCTCAGCCTGTTACAGTGACACTGTAGCCCAGGGGTCCCAGGGGTCCTGATGTAATCTCTCAACGCCATGACAGTGACACTGTGCCCCAGGAGTCCCGAGGTCACCCCAGTCACTGTGGGGCCTGGGGGGGTCTGCGGTCAGTGCAGGGCCTTGTTCATGAGCATGTCCAGTCAGTCTCACCGTCTAACTGGCAGCCAGTGCACAGCAGTGAGGACAGGAGTGATGTGCTGAGGCAGCCTTGCTTTAGGATGCACACAAGCCTCTGACTGCCCCTGTGCTGCCTGGGGGGGCGGGGCATGAGGGGTGGCTGTGGGGTAGGTTCAGGCGCAGCTTGTCCACACCGGTGTCTGCTCCTCTGTCACGGTGCAGAGAGTGAGCCTGCTGTCCCTGTGTCTTTCAGCACGGCCATCCGTCTCCCTGGCAACGGGACACGAGCGACTGTATCCCGGGAATGGATCTTGCTCGGGTCAAGGTGGAGGAGCCCGAGGCGGGGCCGCTCTGGGTCGAGGGCGAGCCGGACCCTAGACTGCGCCAGCAGTGGGTCCAGACGGCCAGCGGCTCTGTCCAGGGCCCGGGCCCGATCGGCGCAGTGGAGCTGGTCCGCATCAAGGAGGAGCCTCTGGATGGCGAAGTGCAGTCCGTCCGGATCAAAGAGGAGTTCGCCGAGCCGGAACCGGAACCAGAACCCGGACTGGACTCGCTGTGGCCCGGCCCGCTCTGCGTGAAGCAGGAGAGTCCCGACCCGCTTCTGACCCGGATCAAAGAGGAGCCGGTCCCGCCGGAGGCGGTCCGGATCAAGGAGGAGTCCGAGGACGTGGAGCTGGACCTGGCTCTCCTGGGCGGTGTCGACCCGGCCCGCGTGAAGAGGGAACCCAGCCCGGGCGAGCTCGAACCCGCGCTGGCGGCCCCGCTGCTAGGCCCGGGGAAGTGGGAGGAGCCCGGACCTGACCCCGCCCACGTCAAGCAGGAGTGTCCCGGGACGGACGGCGGCTCGGATCAGACTTCGCCTCCGGACAAGGACTCGGGTGAGAGGGGGCTGGGGTCCGAGGTGGTAACTGATATATTTCTTCCTTTCATCTGGCCCATCATTCCTGTTCCTCTGCTCTCAGTGTTCACAATTCAGAAGCTTCATGGTCCTGACTGAGGACGCCCAGTGCTGCCAGAGCACATCGACAGACACTTACAATACCAGCACATCACAGAGCAATGCTGAGAGACAGGCTCACTGTTCCTCAGGCTGGGACAGGAGATCACACACTGTATTATTATTACTGAGAGACAGGCTCACTGTTCCTCAGGCTGGGACAGGAGATCACACTGTATTATTATTATTGAGAGACAGGCTCACTGT